AAGTGATTTTCGGGGGGGACCTTGTATGGGAGCTATGTCCAATTATGGACCGATCCAAAAAATGTTTTCTCCCAATGAATTCTATTGACATAAGATTTTAATTTGTAAAATTTTGTGAAGATATCAACATTCTAACGGAAGTTATTAACAAAAAACTCATTTTCCGGGAATATGTACTTTTGTATGGGAGGTATATGAAATTATGGACCGATTCTAACAATTTTCAGCAGGAATCAAGATCTTGTGTAAAAACGAGTGAATGATGACTTTCATGAAATTATCTTGCATAGTTTTCGAGAAAATTACATCAGAATGTGTAAAAAATGCTTATTTTTTCGGAGTTGTTTTAAATTTTGATTCATAACTTTTCCCGATGTGAACCGATTTTGCTCATTTTCAATACCAAACTGTACCGGATAATAGTGAATATTTTGAATTTGGTTAAATTATATTGCTTCGTTTTAACGTGAGCGTGTTTTACACAGACAGACAGACAGACCGACTGACGGTCGGACGGACAGACAGACGGACATAGCTAAATCGACTCAGAATTTCATAAGGACCCAGAATATATATACTTTGTTGGGTCTCAGATGAATATTTCTTGGTGTTACACACGGAATGACAAAGTTATATATACCCTCTATGACCACTGATGGTGGTGGAGGGTATAAAAAGATTTTTATTATAAATATAAATCTATAAAGTGATTTTAATTAATTAATACATTTTCAATGGAAGAAATATCTTCTTTTTAAATTTATTAAAGTGTGTGTTTATTATAGTCAGTGTGACCAGGTCTCAAAAAATGTTGCGGCTAAATCCCATCCAAAATAATGCTAGAAAAAATGCTAAATTGATTAAAATGCCAAAAAAAAAAAAGCTAAAATTTTTTAAGTGTTTTTATGAACAATTCATATTAATTTGTAACTGAAATTCATTGTAATTTATAACAAGTAAGAAAGTATATTCTGCCGTGGTTGACCATATGAGTATAAAATTTGATTTATTTTTCGTAATAAATAAATATTTGTTTTGAAAATTTCAACCTCTACTAGACGGTCAGACTTACATGGCTTAATCGATTCAGAAAATGATTCTTAACCGATTAGTATACTCAAACGTAGTATAGTGGAGTAGGGTAAAAAATTAAGTTCCGTGGTATTATGATAAACAGAAATGCTAAAAATTATTTCAAAATTTTTGTAAATTTAGCAATATGTAAACTTTAAAATATTTCTGAATGCAAAAATTACATTAAAACTCTATTAATTACACTAGTTGCTCATGGTATAAAACCTATATGTGTTTTCGGAAGGAAAAGTATAATATTTCTAGTTTTACTTTTTTTATATGAACAATTTTATTTGTCTTCCTCAAAACACTTTAAAAATGGTTTTCATGTCACAAAAATTCCGTTGAAATAATTTTAAATCTCGGTGAATAGATGTCAGGTTTATAACTCATACTTCCAAGATTTTTTCGAAAAAAATATATATGAGAATGTATGAAATGAATTGAGAGATATATTCAAATCCGTAAGTTTGTAATTCTGGAATAAATTGTCAATAATATTTTCGAAATTTATGTTTTTTTTTTAATTAAAAAAAAAAAAAAAACGTGACAACAAAATTACTAAAAATTTGGTAAAAATAAAAAGAACAGAAAGTAGGATGAGAAAGTCTTAATTATATATTATTGATTTTTTTCAATACTTATTTTGAATAAATTAACAAAAACTCCTGATGGATGAGAAAAATTAAAACCTCTTTATTTCGTATGGGAAAAAATAAAATTTGTTAATTAACCGTCATACATAGCCTTTTCCAAAATTATATGTTTCATTCCGTGAGCAAACAAAAAGTATTAGTTTGTAAAATAGCGTACTGAACGTATTTGTAAAAATATATGAAATATCTTGAATTATTTCTATCAGCTCGAATTTAAAAAAGCATTGGGTTCCAGAAAAATATTTTAGAATACAACATTTTAAAGTATTCACTTGTATTGGCGTAATTCTAAGTTATTTATCTTCATGAATCTTTTTGCATTATTTGGAATTACAGTGTAAATTATTACATTTCTCATATTTCTTGTTGCTTGTGTTTGGGTAGACATTTAATTCTGATTTTTTCCGGTTAAACCTATTTCCAATATAAATCTTTTTTGCAAAAAGTTGTCTTTTTTTGTTTATAAACTAAAATTGCAAAAAAAGCTAAAAAATGATAAAAATATTTTATAAAAATGCTAAATAAAATGCCAAATGCTAAATTAAAATTTTACAGCTAAATCAAAATAAAAAATGCTAAATCTAGCTGCAAAAATGCCAAAATGGTCACAGTGATTATAGTGTATGAACAGAATTTAAATAATTTTTTGAACGAAATATTTTCAATTATTTGCTTTTTCTTGTTTCTGTTTTTTAATACTTCTGCTTTTGTCCATGTACAGTTTGTGTCGTTTTGTGCTTATGTTTTGATTTGTAGAAAAGTTAACGGAGTTTTGTTTTTTCTTTTTGAAATAGTTAGTTCTGTTGTTGTTAAATAATAAATTTAATAAATTAAAAATAAAAGAGGTAAATAAAAATTTATTTAATCTCTTGAAGGCAACAGAAAATAGTTCCGAAGAAATTCCAAATATCGAAATTGTTTTTAATTTTGAGAATTCAGAAGTAGATGTAATAGCTGATGATAAAAATGGGACATTAAGAGAAAATATAAGGGAATGGTATATAAAATATCGCCCATCTGCGGCAAGCATATCAGCCATTTTACATATTTTAAATAGTATACATTCAGAAATACCATTGAGTGTAGAATCCCATGAAGAAAGGGTTTCATATAAGCAATACTGTAATAGCTTCACATCAGCTATGAATTCACGTCTTCTGGAAAAGCATTAGGGAAGAGCTTTTTGTAAACAATGAAAGAAGTACTGCCATAGAAACATGAAATAAGTACTTATTTATAGCTGTTACTCACAGCTGAATGTAATGAGTGAAAACACGCTTCATTTTTTAAAAAGTAATGCTTCCAAGTGGGAATTCGCTATATACAAATCATGCCTTATCGAAGCAGGTTTGTAAGGGAGAAAATAGCTTCGTTCTCTTACAAACCTGATTGCACGTAAGCTCCAATTTTTACTGGGTACTTATTCACCAAAATTTGCTTATTATTATAAAATAGATTGATTGCAAATAAATTATTGAAAAAAAAATTATGAACAGAATAACAAACTTATATATACCCTTTTCACGAAGATGAAGGGTATAAAAAAACGTAAATTTAAGGACTTTTAAAATTTAATTTAAATAAGAAAATATTTCTAACATTAATATTTTAAAACGAAAGACTCTACCTATTTTAGGTACTTGGGAATTTATACAGGTTTTGTTAAACAGTTAGTTTTTTAGTATCTTTTTTATTTTTAAGAAAAAAAAAAAGCTGTTTTTGATATTTAATGGAATGCATCTTATAATGTTGGCATTTGTCTTCTTTAATATTCAAGAAAAAAAAAACTGCAGATATTTAAGTAATTAAGATTTTAGTAAAGGTACCCAGCTCCATTAATACCTATTACTGACAAAGAAGTTTGTTACGTTTTCTTGTTTAATATCAGTATTTTTATCGTTATTGTATTAAAAGTAGCCATTCTTGTTTAATGTCAGTATTTTTATAGTTATTGTATTAAAAGTAGTCATTAAATATTTACATTAGAGTTAGTAATGTCAGTTTTTATACCTTTCACCTTCGTGAGAAGGTTATATACATATAAGTTTGTCATTCCGTTTGTAATTTCTACAATATAATTTTATAATATTTATTTTATAATAAAATATTCTGTACACTATAACATGGAAAAAATTCACTTTTTGTTCCGAAAAATTGAAATTTTTGGTAATTGATCTGAATATTATTTATAGGAGCATTTTTGCCTATTTAAGAACATTAAACCCCCGGAGTTTTGTATCGGGTATTCAATAATATCCCTCGTTTGTTCATTATGATGCATTAGAAGACGATATTTTAACTTTTAAAGTAATTGTTTCTTTACAATAATTACAATCCATTGCGGAACATTGCCGTTTTTAACATAGTATAGCGTTCATATTCGATATTTAACGGCGATTTCCTAAAATTTATATCTTAAAATGCGATATTAATAATACTTGCACTAGTATCCATTAATTAAAACAAGTTTTTTGGTTCCAATCATCCATTACACACTCCTAAATACTACCAATAATCGTCAAATGGTGACCATGTCAATAACTTACACTACATATCGGTTCTGAAATTGATTATTGTCCAAAATAGTAAGATTTTTATATTAAATCAGGCTCAATTGGTGGTATGAATACGAATTGAACAATTTTGAAGACGGATACATCTTAATTTGTTGCTAGAACAAATAAAATGTCCAATCCATAAAACATGGTTATTGTATCGAGTATATCAAGATATGATTGGTAGCATTATTGTATGCTTTGGAAATCGGAGTATTTGGAAAACCTGTTTAAATTAAAGAAAATATATAGAATTATCCAAATTTTAAAGTTTATGTTGTAAGTCTTAAGAAATCGGAGTTAAATTTCGGGGGTGTAAGAACGTACTGTGTTCAAAATGGCCAAATCCATGCATATAACATTAATTTCGAAATAACAACTCTTTTCAAAAGTTAAAAATTCTATTTCCAATGCATCATTTGGAGGGTTCAATGAAAAACTGTTCTACTAATTAATTCCGGAGCCAATCGGCCCAAATTTCAAGATTTCGGAACTAAAAGTAGATTTTTTCCAAGTTATTGTGTATGTAACATTATATTAAAGCTTTCTGTTAAAAGCCTTAATAATGAACATGTACAAGTATCATAAAAGAACATAGTAATAAATATAGAATTAGTAATAAGGAATAAGAAATGAATTGTAAAGAAATAAAGTCAGTGAATAAAGAGATTTCTGAAAAGAAACATTACATGGCGCAGCCGACGGTATTTAACAAATGTTAACTAGAAAAAAAGTAAAAGAATTAAAAGAAGAAACAGACCGCGTGGATTCAGACGAGGAAGAATTTGAAGAAGCAGAAACTAACGTTGAAAGAAAACACATAAAAATGGATTTTGTTAAGCCAGTTAGCAGTCTTATTATAGAAGGAAATGTGGCAGAAAACTGGAGAAAATTTAAGCAAAATTTTGAAATTTTTTTGGAAGCAGCAGATTTGTCGGGTGAACCTGATCAAAGAAAAGTTGCCGTTCTACTTAATGCTGTTGGTGAAGATGGTTTAGAATTGTTCCAAACCTTTAACTTGAGTTCTGAAAACAAGAAGAAGTATCAAGAAGTTTTAGCCGCATTTGAAAATTTTTGCGTTCCAGAGAAACGTATAGTGTATGAAAGGTTTTTATTTTTTTCAAGAAACCAAAAAGATGGTGAACCGTTTGACAATTTTTTGGTAGATATAAAAAGATTGAGTAAATCATGTGATTTTGGAGAACAACAAACATCATTAATGAGAGATCGTATTGTTCTCGGCATAAACAACAAACGGTTACAAGAAAAGTTGCTGGAGAAAGATGTTGATTTTGAGAATGCTATTGAAATATGTAGAGCGGCTGAAATATCGGAAGGTCAAACAAAAGCCATACAAATGAAAAGTGGTGGAGAAATTTCTGATGGGGCTTTCGGAGGAGTTGTGCATCAAATTAATAAAAATAAAGGAGAGAATAATTTTAAAAACAAATTTAGTAGAAATCATGAATTTTTAGGGAATAAACAATTTGATTCATTTTTATGCAAAAGATGTAATAAACATCATAAGCCAAAGCAATGTACAGCTTTTGGAAAAAAATTTTTAAAATGTAATAAAATGAATCATTTTGCAAATTGTTGTAACGACAAATCTATATCATTTATTGATAATCTAGATACTGATAATGATATTTTTTATGTAAATATGATTTCAGATAAGAAAAATAATAAGTGGTTACACAAGTTAAAGATTGAGACAAGTTTTATTGAAGTGAAATTGGATACTGGAAGTGATGTTAATATTCTTCCATATAATGTTTTTCAAACGTTGAAATCCGATAATAAAATTAGCCCGACATCTATGGTACTCAAAGCCTACGGTGGTCAACAAATAAAGCCGAAAGGTGAATGTTTCCTTAAATGCTACTATAACAATAAGATGAGTATTGAAAAATTTATTATTCTTAACGAAAATTTATATTCTATCTTGGGTGCTGAGGCAATTGAAAATTTGGAAATAGTTAGGAAAGTAAATACAGTAGATTCAGATCAAAATGAAAATTTCACAAAGGAACAATTTATAAAAAATAATTCAGATGTTTTTACTGGAATAGGTACGTTCCCAGGACAACATAAAATTAAATTAATGGAAAATGCAGTGCCAGTTGTTAAACCACCAAGAAGAGTTCCATTGAAAATATTAAACAACTTAGAAAACTCATTAAAATAAAAATATTTTATTAAAAAGTAATTATATTAATACAAGTAAAATTTTCATAAATTTTGTTAATATCATTAAACCAAATATATACTGAAATGATCTGTATACTTACTTTTGTGACGTAAATTTTCCACCTTTTTAACTTTAGCTTAAATGAGAACTCAAATAACCAAAATAATCCGAAAAAAAGTAGTGAATAATAATTATCATAATTGTTTTTAATAAATAAATGTGTTATTTTCTTGTTTTTTGAAAAAATAATATGTTTTTTTAAATAAAACCAATCGTCAGTATTTCTGTATACTTATTTTTGTGATTAACTGTATATGCCCTCTATATCTATTGATGGTGTTGGAGGGTATAATTACAGTATCTTTTCTGTGTATAAAAGTAATATTTATGCCAAATTTTGTATTGATATCATTATTTGGTAATGAGTTATATACATACATTTAAGTGTTTTTCGGGACGGGTCCTTGTATAGGAGCTATGACCAAATATTACGGTGATCGATTCTTCGAAATTTTTTAGAAATCGGATTTAAGCTTCTTCGAAAAAATTCAATTTAATATTAACTGGTTTTTGGCAAAATATTAAAACGCCTAGAAATAATAATAATACAATAATTACTAAAAAAAAACAGTTCATTGAAAAACATAACAAAACAGAAATGAGATCATATAATTATAATAATGAATATACCCTGACAAACTAATTGATACTGACACAGAAAGCACATTAAAATTTTGTTTGTTTTATTGGTCATATTGAAAAGATCTTCAATAAAGAAATGGTTTCACTGGATAGAGAGACTAGTTTTCCACAAAATTCACTTTCTTGCATTTTAGAATATAATTATTAAATAATTAACATTATTTAAAAAACAAGTTAGAGTGCAATATTCGGTTGTGCCGAATCTTAAATACCAGCAAGCTACTTTTTATTAAATCCCATTTAACTATCTAATTTTTATATAACTTGACAAAATTGTTGTTTCCGTAGTGAGGGTACTAACATTTATGCATATGTGGAACAAATTTTGATTACGTTCATAAAATTTTATATTAATAGGCCAGTTGTAAACATTTTAATATAATGATTTATCTATATACAAACATACTCATGTCGAGTAAAAATTTCGTAGAGTGATTCATATGTATGTACACAAAACATATTTGGGTCGAATTTTATCAAGATAGCTTTATTTGACAATGAAACATATGCGTTTAAGTGATTTTCGGAAGTGGACCTTATATGGGAGCTATGACCAATTAAAAAAATTTTGTAGAGTGATTCATATATGTACGAAACATATTTGTGTCGAATTTTTTCAAGATACCTCTAATTGACAATTAAATATGTGCGCTTAAGTGATTTTCGGAAGTGGGCCTTATATAGGAATGATCTGAAAAAAATTTTGGTAGAATGATTTGTATGTACACAAAACATATTCAGCTCGAATTTTATTGCAAAAGCTTTATTTATCAATGAAATATGTGCGTTTTGGTGATTTTTAGAAGTGGACCTTATATGGGAGCTATGACCAATTGTGGACCGACTGAGATCTACGTTGGTGTATGATTTCTATTCATATTATATTTGTATGTACAAAATTTTGTGTTCATACCGATATATTTGAGGAAGTTATTAACGATAAACTAATTTCCGGGAATATACACCTTTGTATGGGGGCTATGGGAAATATTGGATCAATTGTTATGAGTTTGTACATACTTGCTCCCTGGTACAAAAAAATAATGTGTGACAAAATTCATCAAAATATCTTTGGTAGTTTCTGAGAAAACTACTTAGGAATTGGAAAAATAAACTTTATTTTTTTCGAGGTAGTCTAAAATTTTTACTCATAACTTTTTACGTCGTGAACCGATTTACTGATTTTCAATACCAAACTGTACCGGATAATAAAGAATGTTTTGGGAGATTTTCGTGAATTTCTATTGCTTCGTTTTAACGTGAGCGTGTTTTATACATAGCTAAATCGACTCAGAATTTGATAAGGACCCGGAATATATATACTTTGTTAGGTCTCAGATGAATATTTCTTGGTGTTACACACGGAATGACAAAGTTATATATACCCTCTATCACCACTGATGCTGGTGGAGGGTATAAAAATTATCATTTTACTCTGAGATTTCTTTGTATTCAAATATTTTTTATACCCACCATCAACAAAGATAGGGGTATATTGTTTTTGCCATTCCGTTTGGAACACAACGAAATATTGGTCATAGACCCACAAAAGTATATATATTCTGGGTTCTTATTAAATTCTAAGACGATCTAGCCATGTCCGTCCGTCTGCCTGTTGAAATCACGGTAGGGATCACATGGAAAGAGGTAGATAGATACAATTTTGCATGAATATTTTCTATTGGTAAGGTTTGTACGGTAGTGAAAATGGGCAATAGCGGTCCACGTTTTCCAATAGCCCCCATACAAGTGAATCCCCGAAAAATAGCTTGAATGGTCATAACTATTTGAAAGTACGAGTATAGCGATGAAATTCGACATAAATAAGTTTTGTATGATCAAAAATCTCTCTACCAAAGCTTATGAGGATCGGTCCATAATTGACCCTACTCCCACATAAGGTCCCCTTCAAAAAATGACTATAACGCTCATTGCTGGCTTAAAAATTCGCGTAAAGTGATAAAATTCGACAGTCATAAATTATATACGAGCCAAAATCTCTCTACCAAATTTAGTAAGGGTCGGTCCATAATTGACTCTATCGCCCATACAAGGTCTCCATCCGAAAGTGACTATATATATATACATATACATATATATATATATATATATATATATATATATATATATATATATATATATATATATATATATATATATATATATATATATATATATATATATATATATATATATATATATATATATATATATATATATATATAAATATACACAAATACGTTCCTCGCGAGCCAAAATCTCTCTACCAAAGTTGATGTGGATCGGTCTATAATTTACCATAACCCCATATGAGGTCCCATTCAGAAAATTACTTTAACGCTCATTACTTCCTTAAAAATACGAGGTCCCCTTCTGAAAGTTACTTAACGATCATTGCTGGCTTAAAAATGCGACAGTTATGAAATTCGAAATAAGAAACTTTTATACGAAATTTAATCTTGCCATCCCCTTTATAAGCCCCCTGTCGAAAATTATTTTAACGATTATTATTGGCATAAAAATGCGAATACAGCGATGATATTCAATGTAAACAAGTTTTAAAATCGGTCTACAAAAAGTTATGAGGATCGGTCAATAATTGACCCTAAGGTAATAAGGTCCTTTTCTGATAATTTGATTAGGAGGATTCAGAAAATTACGAGTATAGCAATGAAAATCGACCTTAAAAATTTTTTCTTAGGAACATAATTCTTCATGCCGCTTATTAATATACGAGTTTTTCTTATTTATTGACTTAAACCATAAAATTGACTTAAACCATATTCCAAATATTGCATTCCTTTTACATTTTATGAAGTATAAATAATGCCGATTTCACCAAAAAATATTTATGACCATACATTTTAAAGATAGTTGGTAAGTGTGCCAATACCAAATATGGACCGATCGTGGAAAAATTTTAAAGTCACATTTTTATGTACAAATGTAATATTTGTGCCCAATTTTATATGGATAGCGTTATTTAGTAATGAGTTCTGTGCGTTTAAGTGTTTTTCTGAAGGGGACCTTGTATGGGAGCTAGGACAAATTAAGGACTGATCGTATTTTAAAATAACATTTCTGTATACAAAAGTAATATATGTGCCAAATTTTGAATGGATATCAATATTTGATAATGAGTTATGTGCATTCAAATGATTTTCTGAAGGGGACCTTGTATGGGAGCTATGACCAATTATGAACCGAACCAAAAATTGTTTTCTTTCTATGAATTATATTGACATAAAATTTTAATTTGTAAAATTAAAAAAATCAGCATACTGACGGAAGTTATTAACAATAAACTCATTTTCCAGGAATAAGTGCTTTTGTATGGGAGGTATATGAAATTGTAGCTCTTGTTAGAAATAAATGTGTGATGATTTTCGTGGAGTTATATTGCACAGTTTTTCTGAAAATTACATTAGAATATGTAAAGAAAGCTTAATTTTTTCGGATATTTTTCAAATTTTGATTCATAACTTTTCCCGATGTGAACCGATTTTGCTCATTTTCAATACCCAAATTCCTAGGATAAGAATAAATATTTTGGGTGAATTTTTGTTGCCTTGTGTTAACGTGAGATTGTTTTATACAGACAGACAGCCAGACGGACATAGCTAGGTCGACTTTTTCAATTTCAAGTCCAAGTCCAAGAATATATAATACTTTGTTGGGTCTCAGATTAATATTTCTGGGTGTTACACACGGAATGACAAAGGTGTATATACCCTCTATAACCTCTAGTGGAAGGTATAAAAATAATCAACATTTTTAACATACACCGGTGTAGTTTATTATATGGCCGGCCATGCCCGATTATAAATTCTTACTTGTGTTTTGATATATATCCTACTCTCACCTCATTAAGAGACTATAAAGGCCTTAAAGGAAATTGTATAAGCTTTCTTTAAAAAAAAATACAAATAATTTAAGTATAAAAATTAAAAAAAAACTTGGAAACATTGAAGATATAGAATATTCGCTAGGACCAATAGGTGAAAAGTTACACTCATTTTAAATTTTTATTCATAACTTTTTAGGCTGTGGACCGATTTGGCTGATTTTCAACACCAAACTGCTTAGGACAATAGTGAATATTTTCAATGAATTTGGCTTATTTATTTCGCTTAGTTTTAACGTGAGAGTGTTTGAGGCAGACAGACAGACGGACACAGAATTTCATAAGGATCCAGAATATATATACTTTGTTGGGTCTCAGATGAATATTTCTTGGTGTTACAATTTTATATATATACACTCTATCACCACTGATGGTGGTGGAGGATATAAAA